ACGGGAGCTTCGGCGCCTGAAGGACAACAGTTTGAAAATTCCGAACCTGAAATATATTTTCAAAATTGCCTTACTAAGAGGGATCCCCACCCTGACACACTATTCTGACATAGTTTCTGACATATCATCTGGACGTATATGTGGCATATATGTTCTGACATACTATCTTACATTCTTTTCTGAGATTCTATTTGACCTTCTTTCTGGCATCCTATCTGGCATCTATTCTGACATACTTTCTGGAATATACTATATTCTGATCCTGCCTTGCCATGAGTTTGGGCTGGGAGTGCTTTTATTTGCGTGGATCAATGCCACTGGCTTGAATATCCACCAAATGTTGGTTTCACATGTTTGCACCCAATGATTGCCATTACCATTGATACCCCAAAATGGCCAGGTCCTGAATTTGAGAGTAGGTTCTGAAAAGTTTTCTGGGTACTGAAAAAACAGGACTTTGGCACAGGGTCTGAAAAAAGACGTAGGTGGAAGATTCAGGTATGCTGTTGGGTTGCAAAGCTGGGTTAATCGGCTTCGCGCCACAACGGCGTGCAACTTTTCATCTCTCATCTTCCCAGATGTCTCCGCACCCGCCGCTTTAGCGAGCCTACTTTTCAACCCTCCGGAGCCACAAAACCACGAAAAAACACAGTGTTTCGTGACTTTCCTACCTTTTCGCGCATCTGCATCTTCTTTCTTCTGATCTTTTCTCTTCTGACTCTTCTCCCTGCTGACTGCTTTTTCATCTCTCCATATTGTCGGAAGTTTGACTTCTAAACTTCCTTCGATTATGTTATATTTACCAAATTGATGGTTCCAAAACATCAGGGATGCAATCTCGGTCACAAAGGGATGCAATGTCGGTCACAAGGAAACAGAGAACAGCTGCCTGCCTCAAATATGAGATGACACCCCCGAACACACATGTTTCTACTGCGAGCACCAAACTGTCATATTTGAATAGCGGACAAAATTATTTGCTCATTTTCGTGCCATGCACAAATGAGGATCGTCCCCTATCGTTGTGAAGATTTCTGCGTTCTCAGACTTTGAGGCAACTCATGCAAAACAGGGTATCGGTATAGGGTCGTCCCCTATCGGTACTGAAGGTTTTGCACACCCCTCAGCAAGGCAAAGGCGACGTAAGACCGAATTAGTATTACAATAATTTCGTCGGTTGCTCAAATTTACTTAATGTTGAGGTTGGTGTCCTATTTGATTCGCCTTCCAATCATTTATATTACGACTACCAACTTTGGGTACGTTTTGTTCCTGTAGCTCAGTGGCTTTTGATTTTTTTTCTGCCCATGAATGGTGTAACCAACTCATTTTGTAAGTCGTGGCTGGATGTTGACACCACAGCCACTCTCCCAGCACGAGCCTGCCATGGGCACTCCTGGAGTCACCATGGGATTTCTGAAAGCCGGGCCACAGCCACTGTTGTCATCTTAATCATTCTTAATCTAGATAAATGTCAACTGCCCAGGTAAAACAGAAGGAATTTCACCAACAGTTCTGCAAAACTAGAAATGGATAGAAATGAGATTTCCCAGAACTTCTTCACCTGATTCCACCCAAGTTGGTCGTCTGTTTCGGAGACAAAAATCAGAATACCAGGGCCTAACAATCCCTCCCGAATGCTGCCGCTCCTTTCGCTGTGTCTGTGACAGTGAGACCGGGTGCAAACCGGTGCAGAAACGGTCCCGTCCGCTGAATTTCACTTGGACCGCCTCTATTGCACCACCCGGGGGGAAAACGCTGCGCCGTAAAAATCACCATGGTGCAGGCACTGAAGGGTGCTCAAAATGACGCTGTCATGACGAACTGAAATCAAGACAAATCAAGACAAAAATCATCCAATTGTTGGCTTTCCTTGATGATGAGAGAGGCAAGCACGATCATGAGCGGAAAAGTCAAGAAACTTGCACACTGAAAGCAGTTCGACGATTTTCCGCGACACTTACGTGTGCGTAAGCAGAACAGCAACCTTCTGAAGCTGGTGCCAGAACTGCTCCAAGACTTCTTGGACGCTTGGACAATATGAAATCAACATATATTCAGAGATATGCTTGTAGATTATTGAAATATTTTGAACATATTGACTTGGCTTTTGCCCTTCCGTCCACGCGTTTGCAGCTCGAATCCATGGCTTCAAAGAAGGGTGAGCGAGTACCATGGTTAAGGTGGTGCCTGTTCCAAAGATTGATCAAACCTAGCTGGTTGCGGATGTGTGTGTGATATCTTTTCAGGTGCGGCTCCACTTGCGACATCCCATTGGAACAGAAGCACCACCCATCAGCCCGTGCCTTGGTGTTCCAAGATGTTGGTCATGTCATAGGCTGACAAAGTTTGCAGTGCACCCTGGGCCCTTTGTATCTCTGCATCATCACAGCTGACAGCTGTCAAAGATTCCACATATACATTTCTGTCTTCCAATGTTTTGGAGTCTTTGTTCAAATATGAAGGTCTCTCTCACTCTCACATCCTCAACTTTAGTTCTGCGGCAGAACCTGCCAGGATAGTCTAAGATTGTGCTTTGTTACACGTCTTGATGTCTTCCGAGAGTTGAACCTATATCTGAAATTTCCGGGGGTGCAAACGGTGCAGAAGTTTACAGTACCTGCAATAAAATGACAATATGAAGTGCATGTTTGGCTACCCCTTTCACGCCAGCATCGCAACACCGCCGAGCTTCACAATTCTTGAAATCAATTACCTCGCGACATTGTTTCAGGCCTGTTTCAGACCCACCCATCTGAAGGCCATAGTCAATCTTGAAACTAGGAGAAGGAAAAGGAAAAAGGGAAGAGTGACAGGAAAAGAAAGAGGAAAAAATGAAGCTACAACCGGAACTTCAACCTGGAGCGTTTTCTTCAAAGAAGAATATGGTTTCTGTTAATGATTGACTTTTTCCATCAGCGCCAAGCTTCAAGGACATCTTGCTTTGTCGATGTCCAAAAGCCTTGGAATGATTCAGCTTCTAGCTGTACAATCACAGGTAGGGAGGGATGCTGGGTGCACGGTTGCTTTGGAGGTTCAAACTGGTTTCAGGCCAGTTTCAGACCCACCCATCTGAAGGCCATAGTCAATCTTGAAACAGGAAAAGGATGGGAACGGAACATGAAAAGGGAAAGGAAGAGTGAGAGGGGAAAAAACACAACTCTTCTTTGGACAAGGCTACCTGGAAGGGAAACAAGTCAAGGGTCGCAGAAGAACATCAAGGATTTCTGGCTGAACGATGTTCAAATACCTTTGGGATGTCTTTGTGGTAGCTTTTCACTTTTTTCTAGATTCACACCTTCAAAGTAAACCGCCGCAATGAACCAAGATTGGACACTGCAGGGAGGAAATCAAAAGTCGCCGGATACAGCCAAGCTTCAAGGACATCTTGCTCTGTCGATGTCCAAAAGCCTCGGATCCAGCACGCGCAACGCTGAGTGCTAGCACGCAGGTTCGTCACGCAGTGGGTTTTTAGCATTGTGATATATGTAAATGCATTTAACCAGATCCGGGAAAAACCACATACACATTTTAGACCTTAAAGGGCTAGTAAACTGCAAGTTCGAAACGCATTGGGTTTTAATATCCTATTCATACCTCGGTGCATTTACTTTTCTGTGCAAAAAGCATCCGGTAACGTGCGAATTTCTGCCTGACGTCCGGATGCACTTTGCGCTTCCCAAAAAAAACATCTGGAGTTTCCCCATTTCCTCCAAAAGGGTAAATTCTTTCAGGGTGCTGAAAAAATCAACGCCGCTTGGAGGTACTCGTGTGGCTCTCGTGAATGTGATAGTATCTCATGATATCTCATGCTTATCGTCACTCCAATGCATTTTCCCTATTCCAATAAAAGCCTCCACTATCTAAATCAAGATAAACAATGATAAACATATCTACTATAGGATGCACACCCGGAAAAATGCATTGGAGTGAGTGCTGAGCACGCGAGTGCTGGCACGCGAGTGCTGAGTGCCAGCACGCACGTTACGAAACAGCTAAGGAAGAGACACAGCTGAACCTGATTTTCGGGTTGAATCAACTTCAGCCCCGCTCCTCCATTCGTGACCTGTCTGACTTTCAACAAGTGAGTTGACCATTTCCTCAGCCCGTATTCATTGTGAACAGCCACTTGAACTTTCCAGATTCGTTTTTACTATGGCTTGCGTGCGCAATACACCGCACCATTTCACGACACCATCATTTGAGATAGAAGGCTATTGCAATCCCAAACTCTGAGATGAGGTTACAGACACCATAAGGCTTATAAGGAAAATCAGTGAGCAGTAGGAAAGCACGCAAAAGCCTAAAAGCGATCTATCACCATGTGGAATCAAACATAGCAAAACTCAAATCAACCCATGTTGAATGAAGCAAAGCATGGCGCGATTGAAGCTTTGCTTTGAAAACTCTGAGGTTTCAACTCTTCATGGCTATGTTGTGCGCCCCTACAGTCTGAAAAACGTTATCTTTGCGCGAGTGCTACATGGTTGCGGTAATTCTTCTGCTTCTGCCAAGCTGCCACGCCATCCCTTTCTGCTGCTGGCCGCTTCAACATTGCCAAACCCTGGGATTGACACCAAATCAAGCAGAGGTGGCAAGGGACAGCTCTGGATTTTGAAAACAAACAGTTGGTGCCTCAGTTGCTGTCAAGTCACTTCGGATCTTTTCAGTCTCATCACCTCGGTGCACACCCAACAACTAACAGGACAGCATGGAGAAAGCAGGATGGGCCCAACTGTCAACAGAAAACGTGCAGCGTCCCGACCAATCCAACTGCCTGAGAGGTTTTACGAAAATTGACGCAGCAAAGTGGGTGGCCCCAACAAAGCCTTCACTGTGCATAAGGTCAAGTTGCTATTTGAATGTGGTTTCAAACTGGAACACCAACGAAGCCGAAACAAACTGAATCACTTATATCACTTTTTACAGATTGTCAACTCAGCCAGTTTCGATCAGTTTGAAGCTTGGCGAAAGATTCTTTCGAGCCGAAGCCAAGCTGCCACTCAATCCCAAACCTCTCGCCCCGCTCTCTCTTCACCTTCTCCGCCTCTATCAGAGCCTGGCCGCGCTGAGGAGCTGTCTCCGCTGAGATGTGACAGATGCGGAGGCTCCGGTGAGCGCAGAACCACTTGCGAAAGTCTAGAGCCTAATCGTTGCGATCAATACTGAATCAATACAATTTTCTGAAAATTAAATCATCCAATTCACTTTGAAAGTCACTTTGACTCGTTACAAACAGACATCTCGGTTGGCCAAAAGGAAGGTCGCACGCCAAATGGTTTCGGCACCCGACGCATCTCCCTGGCCTACACTGCCCCAGAGCCCGATGCCTTGCCACCAGGTGTGTTGTGAAGGGATTTGTCGACACGAAGGCACTGCAGACTTCGGTTCTCGATGATCGCGGCGGCCAAGGCCTGGCCGCCGAGGCATCGGCATGGGCAACCCGACGGCCCAGGGGGCTCCGAAAATCCCATCCGACGGCCTAGGGAACAGCCACCTGATCACCTAGAAATCCAACGTGCAATGCTATCTGAGTAGAAAAAACTGAAGCGCAGCGCGGCTTTTCATATCTCAGCACAGAACTGCGAAAAACCACTGTCTTCAACTCAAAATCTCCAAGATGTTTCATCGCGAGCGAAGTCCCTCGAGTTTTTCTAGACTCTAGACCCCTTTTGGCTCAGCTCCAGCCAGCATGGGAGAATAATCGAAACATCAACCAACAAAAACACAATTCAACTATGATATAATGTCAACCCTGGATCAATAAACCCATAGGCTGTTCAATTGGGGGGTACCATTTAAGTATCAGACTATCACTACTTGGGGAGTACCCCCTAATTTGCATCACTTGTGACTAAACCATGCAGTGCAAATGTTTCCAGCTATGAAAGAGTTCAAAAGGTTTCAAATTGGTTTCAATGGCATTCGATCAGTAGTCACACATATCTCACCAGGGATGGACTCCCTTTTTCTGAGGCCAAGGCACAGGTTGAACAAACACTTGTATCTTATATCCCGTTTGAGGGTCCAGGTGGGTATGAACTTAACAAACAACATCTCCCACACCTTTTCTGCTTCACATGAACCTTATCCTCCAACCCTTGGAGATCACCCCGTCTTGGCCACAGCTCCAGCATGGTCCAGCTACCCAACACCACCCTTCACCCCACAGGGCGGCAGCTCAAACGGGCGCCTGTGCACCGACATCACCGATGCTGTTTCCGGAGAGCGAAAGCCACTTCAAACTGCGGTTTTCCTTCAGCCCCTCTCCCAAGGCCTGGCCGTCCCGGGGCGACAGCATCGGGATGGACGCCCCTTTTTCTACGGCCAAGGCACAGGAACAGATCCGGGGGAAATCTACAGGTGGGGCTCGTCCCAAACCAACGTCACATGGATGGAAATCACCAGGCCGTAGAGGAACTATCACTTATAAATATGTTAATTACAGTATTGCTGTGTGTAAAAGGGAGCGAATGGCAAACATTCCGTCACCAAGAGAAAACGCAATGGTTCGTTCCACACGGATGTGCAGGCGTGAAATAGATGAATCTGGTAGTCTCTGGCATTGGCTCTGATCTTTGGCCGGATGAATGACCGAAGAAAAACTTATGCGGCTGCTCACAACCTGCAGTTGCCAATATCTACAGTTGCACAGTTTCTGACCGAACCACTCTCTCTGTAAATTCCCCAGAATCCTTCGACATTTCAAACATATGTCAAATAGTCAAATAGTCAAATCTTTTTGCTCTTTAAATCTCCGGGAAATTTTGTGCAAAATGGATCAAACGATATTCCAAGCTTGAAGGTGGCGCGCAAGATGAACACTGCAACCCATGAGATTGAACTCTAAGGCTGGATACGATCGGCAATTAGTGTGGTGCAAACTGGGGCCTCTTACTCTTTACTACCGTTTGCCATCAGAGCTCAATGGCCCATTGTGAGTCAGTAGTGCACATGAATTTTGCCAAATGTGACTTTAAATGTGCGAAAATGCTCGAAATTCAAGTCAAAGCAATGCTCGAATGACAAAAATCTACTCTCCAGAAAGTGATGAAATAATTATATGTGAAGAGGACATATTTCGCATGTAGTGATTTAATTATCTAAGAATTAAATAGTTCTTTAAATGGGAACCCCAAACCATCAAATTATTCAATAATTGAATGTGAAATATGTATTTTTCACATTAAAATAGTTAATTGTGTAATTCATTAAACATTAAATGCAAACAAAATAAAACAAATGAAATATTGAATTGTTTCTGGAAAATTGGAACCACGCACAATTAAAGAATTATATATATTTAAATGTGAAATAGTTCCTTTTCACACTTGATTATTCAATTACATCATTAAATTAAATGAAATAAATCAAATATTGAACTATTTCTGGAAAATAGAAACCCCCAACAAGTAACTAAATTAAAAAACAAATGTGGAATAGGTCCTTTTCACATTTAAGTCTATAATTTTATAATCGAGCAACACTCAAAAATTAAATACATGACATATTGAATTGTTTCTGGAAAATGGGAACCCCAAACAATTAAATATTTAAATGTGAACTAGGTCCTTTTCACGTTTAATTCCTTAATTGTTGACATAATTGAATGATAAGCTATTTGTTTTTTAGATGCAAAAATCAAATCGTTGAGCATACTCAAACTTGAGTGTACCGCAGAATATAGCAAAGGAGCTTTTGAGTGTGGAATATATGGTGAAAGGGGAAACCATATCAAGTGCTTGACCTGTAAAAGGAAACTTTGAGCGTGACGCTTTGTCCCGTTGGAAGCCTTCTCAAAAAAATTGCTGGGAACATTTGTGATTTGGTTGTTGTTTCCTCTCTATCAGAACAGCAAACAGAAACATTTACCCCTGTTTCCAAAAATGCGGTGTACTGAAATTCTTAACGATGCGCCCCCAAGCAACTTTAGTGGGGACATATCCAGCGCGGGTCGCTTCCAATGGTGGGTCAACGTGCATCAATTCTATTATGATTCTTCTTCCTGTTGGGAAAAAATGTTTGGGGTTACAACTGCGTTTAGGTTTCTTCCTGGTTTTGCTTAGTGTGCCGCTCTCAAACCTTGAGGTACCAAGTAGTATTTTGTGGTTCAGAATGACTCTTTCGATTGGTAACACAGCCCGGAAGTAGAAACAGGCTTCGATTTGTTTCAATGCTTGTTTATTTGTTGCTTGGGCTTTCTTGGAGGCGGTGGCTCAGGAGATCTAGCTGGAAGTAGTGGATGATTACTTGTCAGGAGTTTAGCTGTTGCCGATTTTGCGTGTAAAGTGCGGCATTCTGACTTGTGGCAGCCTTGAGACCCCCAGAACCTTGAAAAAAGGATGTTGACAAGGGTGGACTGGTTCAAGTGTTGAGTTGTTGATTTTTATCATGCGGAATTTGCTAATGGTTTCGTTTTGTTTCCGTTTTCTTTCCGTTCAAAAAAATCAGATAAATTACAGGTATTTGCGGCATGTGTTTTTCCCATAGTTCGTTCCTGTAAGAAAATACCTGTCTATCTTACATGCAGTTGGTATGGAGTATATTTGCATCTTCTGTGAAGTCTGTAAGTTGTTTCTATGCGCTGTCGCTACATTTATTTGTGTTATGTACTCTCTTTGAGACAACCCAGGCCCCCGCATCAAGTTATTCTAGAACGAACCAGGCCCAGAATAGACTGGAGCATCCCTGAGGAATTCATGGCCACCTTTTCTCTACAAACATAAGGGGCTACGCCATCCATCCAATTCAGGCACTGGAGGGGTGCTACGTTTGTTTTGTTTCGTCCCAAAACAAAGCTAACCAGGCATCTGGGCGTATTGAACCCCACAAAACGAGCACTCCGACAAAGCATGACAATACATTTGTCTCGGACACGGTTTGGTCTTCGGACAGGGCCCGGAACACTAACTTAGCAACTGCTTGCAACTGTCAACACACCACGGAAAAGAAAGACGCACACCTAGATTTGCATGAATTTGCATACCCTATGTTTCCCCTACAACTTCTGAAAGGCAAACATGTCCCCACAGTAAAGGGCCAACTTTTGAACATGTTTTTTCGGTTGCGTCCTTGCTGTGGGCCCCGTTGTGCGACATGGAGTCTCAAGCACCTCGCCTCAGGACCCCAAGAAACTAAAATTAGCACCTGGGTGGATATTTTGTGTACGGCGCTTGGCAAAAGACACCAAAAGGGAAACCTAGACTTGTGTTTTGGGGATCCTATTTTTTCTCCACAGCTTCTAAACAGGAAAATGTGTGCCACTTGGACAATTTGGGGTTCAGTCTGGACCGTGCGCCCTTTTGTGCGAGCGTGGAGTCTCATGTGTCACAGGACCCCAAGAAACTTACATAGAACCTGATAGGATGTTGTGTCAAGAGAAGCTGGGACATGACCAAGCACTAAAAAGAAACCTATATAGATTTACATGGATTTGGCAATCGTTTTTTCCTCAACTTCAAAAAGTATATAATAATGTGCCATGTGGACATAATTTCATAGGCTGAGTCTGGACCGTGCGCCAAGGAGTCTCATGCACCACAAGTTTCCCCCCAAAATAAACTAACATAGCACCTGCTTGCACGTGTCAGCAAATGACACCAGCAAAAGGATGTTGCATGGATTTGCACATCTACAGCTTTTGAAGTTACCAATGTACCACGTGGGCATTTATGGGTTGAGTCTGTACTGTGGGGATTGTTGTATCATGGTCCTTCATGCCCCACAGGACCCTGAAAACTAGCTTGACACCTGATTGGATTTTTTTCGGGGTACTGGGACACGACCAAAAAACGCCAAAAAAATAGGGCTTGCATTGCATGGATTTGGGGATTATTTCCAAAATGTGCAATTTATTAATGGTTGAGTCTGGACTGTCCGCCCTTGTTTGCGACATGTAGTCTCACACACCATAGGACTCCGCAAACTAACAGCTTGGAAATGTCATATGACGCCAGCCCAAAATGTTGCAAAGATCTGCAATGAGCTCCACAAGTAACGCGCGATTAAAAAAAATACCACGTGAACATTCTTGGGCTGAGTCTGGACTGTGTTTTCTTTTAATATTGTTGCTCATGCACAACATGACCCCGAAAACTAATCTGGTACTTGATTAGATGCTAGATATTTTGCCACGGGAAGTGGGACAAAATAAAGAAAACACATGAGTGTGGATTGGCAGGGATTTGGGGATCCTGTTTTACAATTTTTAGGTAAAGGTAAAACATGTATAAAAATGTGCCATTTGGTTCCTTTTGAGTTGATGGCGGACTTGTGGGCTTTTTCAGAGACGCAAGGCTGACTGGGTGAGCCGGCAAGTAGCTGCCAGATTTTTGTCACACAAAGCCTTGGCTACCCGAAAAACGGGCAAAACAATGTGTGTTTTTTGTTTGCCTGTTACTGCCTGTTGTTCTGTTTTCGTTCAGGTGCTTGGGTCCGCTTGGTGTCGTTTTCTAATGTCGCGACATGGTTAACATCAGTTTGACTAACCAACAAAGAACAGGAGGGCGATTCGGGTCTTTCAAGGAGCGTGCATGTGTCCTTATCAAAGTTGTATTCAGTTTTCAAAATAGCACATCAGCAATGACATAAAATAGCACCTACATAAACCTCATTCTCTAGATGTGACCTGAGCCCTCAAATTTCTTCAAACAAATCCCAAGTATGTCTTCAACAGATTCTCTCGAGCATGCCCCAAGCATCCAGCAGAAGGTCAAGCATGGTGCATCAGGGTGTTGGCCGGAATTAAAATGGGTCCCAGGTTTGCCTCAAAAACAGCGGCATCTTTCACATGACCTTTGAGCATGATAAGAAATTCACACCAAGTACATGGATTTCCCTTCGGTGGTTTCTCTTCAACCCGCACATAAAGGATCCGCATGAACCTTGTATGGATCTACTTTCTTCCCTTCAATCTTTTCGAGTTGCTTTGTAAGTCTGGAGGAAAATTGAAGAAAATTGCGGAATAGTTAAGACCTGTCCCAAAAAGGATTCCCAAAATAATTTGGAAATTGGTGTTTAATTCCACATCAAGTTTTCGTCGCTTGCCAACTTTTGGTTGTTTCAACTCAGTAAATGCCAGGTAACCAAGCCTCAACAAGAACGAAGCTATGGAAGCTGACTGGAAAAATGCAACCTGTTCATTGCAATGACTGGTTAGGAACTACCTTTCTTACTGGCTTTTTTGAAGGCGGCCCACGGAAGACACCAACAAAAAATGACTTGAAATTATAGGTGCCATCATTTGTATTTACTGCAGCTAGCTTTTCGGTTTGCAAC